ACACTTATATCTACGCAAGAAACATTTACAATTAGGTAGAAAAGATATGAATGGCAAATCTACAGGCATAGCAGCTAATACTCCAAATGCATGATAGAGAACATCTCTTAAGGCCCTACAGTCAGGCACACTGTACATACATTATTCTACTCCTCAACAGGAACCATATATAGTGATGCCTGATTTACATGCTGTGCGGCAGGACACATAGCTAATAAGCATCCAAACTGGCCTCTGAACTCAGTTGTGACTCCAAAATTATGCTGTCTCTCATCAAACAACAAACACTGGATTCTCTTAAAATGTCCAATCTAAAGAGAATTTCACTTATTGTTAAGGAGTATATTTGAGAGTCCCACTAAGGACCAAAACATGGCAGTCATGTCTCATGCAATCTAATTATTCCTAACATTGCTGTCACGTGTAGAGAAGGATAATAGCACGTTGAACTTTCTGGACTTTGAGCTTTTATGTTCATAATATACTTAAGAGAACCTTGTGTTACTGTACAAAGGCAAATATTATTATTGTGTAGAAACAGTTCTGATGTTATGCTTGGTACAACTAAGTATTTCAGGGTAACTGCTGTGTCTGGCTGCCTCCATGATGTTTTTAGAGCTGATGTCAAACCATTGTTTATGTCCTTTCCATGGGAGGGAATACATTTTTACCTAAGACTAAAGTCTGGTTCTGCAAGCACAGAGGCAACTGTCTAGTAGCCTGAGGGTGATCAACAGCTGCAAGGCCACCCACGCACATGGACACAGCTCTCAGCTGTCTCTCCATTCAGAGTCCCAGTTGGTCCTGACCCCATACAAATTTGGTGTTCTTGCTTTGATGTTTATAAACTGATTGCATTAAAAATGCAGCATAATGATTCTGGGGTTAGAGAAACTGTTATTTATACAAATGTGGTTAACACCTCATCATTTTAAGTTGGCTGTGCTAATAACATTCATTGTGCTCTTTGTTTTCTGCTTCCCCCCCAAATCTGAAACCTGCATTTGCTCTGGCAGTATGTTGAGTGTGTACTGGAATGAATGGAACTTGGACCACTATAGAGTCCTGCAAATAAAGGCACATCCTCAGGAAACCTCCTAAATAAGGAGGCACCCAGGTATAAGTCTAAAATATGGGAACTCACTACTTGAATATGTCTGGTGTCTGTGGCTCCGGCATTGTTTAACATGTCTTTTGTGGTGCATTATAAAACTATTCTTTCAGAATACAACAGTAAGATTTTAAAGTTTGGTACACTCATCCTAAAAATTTCAGATGATAATGCTAAAACTCAAATACTACCTGCTATTAACAGCATATACTAAAATACTGTTAAACCTAATAAATTAAATCTATAAAAGCTTATAGAAAAAGCTCAAGATAGATTTTATAATTCCAAAATTGTTGTTTTTTTTATCAGACTAAATACATGCTCTCTAACTTTATTCTCTTCATAGTTGGGGCAGACACAGTAGCCACATGTTGCTTTTAATTTTAAAATAAACTTAAGAGATTCGGTTCCTCTGCATCACTAGCCACATATGAAATGACCAACAGCCACTTGTGATAGTGGATACCATATTCACAATGTAGACATACAATATTTTCATTACCACAGGGTCCTATACCACAGCACTGATTTAGAGACTGGAACTGTAAGAAACTACCCTCGCCTACCTTACTCAGTTGAAGCCAGAGAGCATTTCAATGTATAATCCTGCTATTTAGGGGATTAGAGAAGTGAGTGATGTTGGACCTGATAGTCTTAACAAAACAAGTAAAACAGAAAAGGTTTACCACACATCTAGATAAAAAGTCATAAAACCTAACTCCCTAAATTATGTTCAGTAGGCTAGATGAAAAATATTAATGTGGCCTTCTAATCTAGAAAAATAATCTAAAATATTTAGAACTCAACATTTTGTTAAATATGCATCACAATTCTAAATGTTCTATCACTCATCACAAAATACTCTCCTTCTTAATCTGTTCATAGGTCCCCTTGATTAATATAGTTAATTAAATTTCAGAAAAGCCTGCCTAGTGACAAATTTACCAGGCCTACCTCTGCTGCAGTTGTCAGTAAGAAACATCTACCATGCTGGCCAAAATTCAGACTCCTGTTTGCTTCAGGAAGGAATGAGAGAGCTTTTTGTAGGCACAGAGTAGTTCTCTCTCCTGTTTCCAAAATTTGTTATTACTGCCAATTCACCTCAAATAGTCTTCGTACACATATCGGCATGGCTTAACAGCCTCTATACTTATCACTGACAAAGAGAATGGAGATCATTATCAATTATATTGATCCTAAGAGACAATCTGAGAAAAGAACAAAGGAAAAGCAAAAGCAAAGCTAACATATAGAGCACTGATAAATTATAAAAGTTATAGCTCTTGACAAGCTTCATTATTCTAGGTCCCTAATTAATAAACAACCTAGATTCCACTATAATTTAAAAGGTTACCCTTAAAACAAATTCCTTTTTGTGGGACTGGGGTTTGAACTCAGGACTTCCTATTTGCAAAGCAGGGGCTCTACCACTTGAGCCACACCTCCAGTCCAACAAATAATTTTTAAGTAGAAACCTGATTTATTTCAAGTTATCACTTATTAACTGAATTGCCACGACACTCAAATCATACAGTGAGAACTTACCATAAACATTTAACTTTAATAGGGAAGAAGAGCCTCAACGTTTTGGTCTGTAGAGAAGTAAAATGCCCCTTATTTTAACATAAACAAAATACTTAAAATAATTCTAGAACAGATGCTTAATCACTGTTATCTGTTTGAATTAACTTTTGAATTCCATAAAGAAATAATGATAAAGTTATCACATCCAAGTTAAAAATGGATGATTTGCTACTTTTAACTACACACAAATATATTTCCTTAAGAAATTATAAATGTTGCCAGCTGTGGTAGTGTGAGCCTATATTCCCAGCTTCTCAGGACATTGAAACAGGAGGATCACTTGAGCCCAGGAGTTTGAGGTCAGCCTGGGCAACATAGTAAGATTCTATTTCTTAAAAAAAATTTTTTTTTTAAATTACAAATGTTAAAATGTACAGTGAATTTTTTCTTTGTCTTCGCTTTTTTGGCACTGGGGATGGAACCCAGGGTCTTGAGCATGCTAAGGAAGCACTCTACCCCTGAGCTACATCCCAGCCCTACAATGAATTTTTAAATGCTTGTTTTAAAAGTAAAATTCATGTGGCACAAATATATCAGTAAGCACAGTAATGGTATTATCTGGTCTTTAAAAAGAGTCTGAAAAAATAAAACCTCTTTACCATTTTAACTAATGACCTCTTTCAAGACATGTATTAATAAAAATCTATAATAAAAATAACCAAAAATGTATATATACAAGGATACATAGCCAAAGGATGCAAAATTACCAGCTTATTTGTGTTTTGCATAAAAAATGTTTATGCTCCTTGGGAGATACTACTTTAGGCACTTTCTTAGACCTAACTTTGGCAACACAGTTTGTTTTCAGTTTGTCCATATTTCTATTCACACTTCAACCTTGTGCTTTCTCTGCTACAGTTTTACTAGGACATCTTGGGCATCTATAAACTGTCACCCAATGGCTTTACAATGAAGTACTGTACCCATATGCCTGAGGATCCATACAGGTAGCAAGGTAAGTTTAGATGGTAACTGTTGACATTAAGCACATCCGTATGTACAGAATTCATTTATTAAAAGCCCTAAAAGGCTTCTCAAAATTTAAACATCCCGTTGTTCACCCATCTGTTTTAAAAGACATGAAATATTTTAAGGAACTTGGGTTTGCCCTCAAATAAGCCTTGCAGAACATCACAATGAGTTTTTTTAGGCTCCAAGTACTGGAGGTATAAACCTCTGAGCTATTCCATCCAAAGGGTTGTGAAGGTGTATTTTGGAACCAGCTAAATAACTCTCAAGCAATGAAGAGTCCCACGTACTCTGAAAAAAAAAGTCAGCACTCCAATTCCATGCTAAACTACTATAATGGTTCTTAAGTTACATTCAGTCCTAAATAGGTATTACCTTTGACTCAATTTCAATGCTTTAAAACAATAACCTATGTTAAGCTGTGCTAAATACTGAGAACATTCACCACAGCCAATCAAAAATCTAGACACGGAAATAAGATAACACCCTCAAATTGCTTGCTACTATTTTTCACAGTTCTTTCTAAATAAAGAAAAGTAATTTCTTTACTACAAAATCACTCTAGCTACCAAAAATAAATCCTAATGTAGTTCAGATAAATAAAGGGGGAGGAAAAATGGTATTGTAGTTTTTTTTCTCTTCCTTATAGAATTCAAATACAATGTGAAAGAAAGAATAGACACAATTCATTGTCTGATGTCAGAAAAATTTAAATACTATATATAAAATACTGAGGGTAGGAGAGACAGAGTTAAACATCTAAAACATTCATCTAAAAACATAAGCAGTCAGGAATAGTAGTGCATACCTATAGAATCCCAGCTCTCGAGAAACTGAGGCAGAAGGATTGTGCCTTCGAGAACAGCCTGAGCAACAGAAAACTCCTGTATTTAAAAAAAAAAGATACATACTTAGCTTCTAAGCTAGTATGTTCTTCCTTAGATTCTTATTTATACATACTGGTTTCTGCTTAAACATTTCATAGCTAAGATGAGGAAACACTAATATACAGAAGACATTTTATCTATATGACAAAACTATATAATAGCCTTCTAAGAAAAGTAGTATTTGTTGTTATAGTGCCAAAGCGGAAACTCAGTTTTATTTTGGAACAAGATCATTTCTGAAAGAAGAAAATCTACGAATATTCTCTTCCTTACTTTCAATTTGAATGAGAACATTTTTTCAACTTTCCTAAATGAAATGAAGTAGTATAAAATACAAGGATATGCTTCAAGACAACTTTTTAGTCAACAAGAAGTTACTTATCCATTTTTATCACCTGAATGTACTATTCAGAAACAATTTTGCAAATCTTTAGTATAGCCCAAAAAGTTTAATAGAAGAAAATACAATATAATCTTGAGTTCTGCAGAGACAAAAGTTTTTAGGTGCCACATGTGTGTTTTAAAAATTATGTACGTTATCTTGAAATCTTTGTCAGGATATTTAGCATTCTTATATTATCAATGAGGAATATTTATTTATATTCATTTTTTTTAAATGACAAAATAGCAATTCTAAAATTTAATAAGACACTAAAGTTCAAAAGCTGGGATAAATACAAAATACATTTTGAGCTTTGCTATTTTAACCACTGATTCCTTGGGTGTATACTTTCCTTTATGGTAACAAATACCAGGCCAGGGACTAATTTAACACTTGTCATATAATACATGTAACACTCAAATGGGTTTAAAAATATAAACATCTCTGCTGTAGCACATCGTTTTAGGGGGAGGATTATCATTCAATATGTAACAGATGCAAGTATGTACAACTGGGTGGTAGAGGGATTTTTACTACTGAAAGATAGGGAAAGAGATTGATCCTTTTCAAAAAAAAAGGAACAGATTACATTTATTAAATAATTCCCTTATAAACCTTAGAGCCTGGGCCAAGTTTCACAGAAATTTTGCACTGACATTAAAAAGTCTTAGTTTTTCTTCTCTTTTTAACAACTGTATCCTAAAGGTCATCCAATTTAATACCTTTAAGGCAACAATATGGAAGCAAGTCTCAAATCAGATGTAATAAGTGATATAGATTACTTGTTTTCTGACTCCATCACTTCACTATTTGATATCCACAAAAGAGAAGTTAACTTAATTATGCGAGGACAGAAGAAGGAAAGGGGTGGGGAGGGAGAGAGGGAGGGAGAGGGGAAGTCAAGAGAGAGAAAAAGAAATTATGTCTCATTACATAAGTTAAACATTAGAATTTCTACCTTAGTAACTCTCTTGTGCAAAAACAACCTAACACATCAAACTCATTATTTGTATTATTTAATGTAAAAGCAGAGATCTGATATTTCTTAAATCATATTTGCCAGCTTATCTAAAATTAAAATCAACATCCAAATCAAAAATACTATAATTTAAAATTTACTACATAGGTTTTCTCAACAGCTGACCAAAGCAAAAATGGCCCAATTATTCCCCAAAGTACAGACACACAGACCTATGACCTATGAGCTGGATGGCAAAGAAATAAAGTCATTTCAATTATGAACTGGCACTGCATCAGAGAGCACACCAACAACACAATCAGTATGCATAAACTTGTCGTGAACTAGCAAGATGATCATCTTGCTGGTGAAGCAGAAATATTTCTTGGTACAATGTTTTGAGGAAATATGCTTAAAATTACACACCACTTGAAAATATAATTTTGACAAAGTATACAAGAGCGAACAACAAAGCTGGTAAAATTCTTCTGACTTTTTTGTAAACAAATGGTGTATATATATATATATATATATATATGTATCTCTCCACAAAATTCACTAACTGCCAGAGGATGAAGTATTTTTCTAAGAAAAATAAAACAAGTTTGTCCTCTATTTTGCTCTATGCATCAGAGTCACTTGTAGATCCTGGTCTGCTGCTATCTGGTCCGTCACTTTCCTTGTCCCAGTCTTTCATAGATGCTCCCATCATGAAATCATCACGTAGAATCGTCCAACCTGGGCCCTCTTCTGACTTCACTTTAGTCTGAGAAAAGTTATATAATCAAAATATTCAGAAATCAATTTAACCATCAGGAAATTAAAAAGTTCAAGCTACAAAACAAACTTTTCAATGCTTAATTTTTTTACAACAGAGATAAAACCAAGATAATGAAGATAAAAATTGACTTCATACACTATGATTATATATGTAGACGTGTATAATAAGAAACTATAAATAAAATATTTTCACACTTCCATAAAAAATGAAAGCAAAATAAAAAATTTTGGAGTGGAGAAAAAATATAGTAAAATCTAGGCTTTGCTTCAGTTTTTAAAATCTTCTATAAACTAAACCAAGCTTACAATATTACTTAACCTCCAGTGATAATGTTTTTTGAAAATTTTGGGCAAATTATTTCAATATAAATAGAAATTTAACAAATGCTTTTAACCCAAAACAAATTAAAGGAGACAAAAACAAACTAACCTTGGTACTCTGGTAGACTTTTATAGATGTTATCTCATTCAGCATTTCATAAAAATTTGAACCAAATGTTCTTCATTTAGATTATGATCTCACTATCTGACCCAATCATGTAAAAGACTAATCCCATGCTAAAATTATAAACAACTGAAACAGGCAGTAAACATAATAGGTAGTCAATTCATTTCATCCAGTCATAGGATTTATGTAATACATAAGAGCCAAAGAATTACAGGTTCACATTTCATGGAACAACAGTACCACCTTGTGGTATTAAATAATACTTATGCAGAACTCCAAGCTGTAAGATTTTTCACAAATTCCACAAGTATTTATTGCAAACTGTGTCTTGAGCACAGCTCTTAGTGTTGGGAATAGAGTGATAAACAAAACAAAGCCTTTGTCTTCACAGAGACAACAGTTTATGCATGTCTATTTATTCCATATGGGGGTTATAAACCATGTAAAAAGCAACTTTTAAGAAAAAAGACATTAAAAACTTACTAAATTACAAGAGATTATCTAATTCTGCTAAAGCTTCCCTTTATTTTTTTTAAGCCTTGAAACACTCAATTTATGAAAAAAAAAAAAGATACTATTACAAACACGGTTCAAAAGGCAAGAATTTGTGCCTAAATATAACCTGAAGTCTAGATCGCATATATATATTCGAGTAAAGACATCAGAATTGAATGTCATCTATTAGCATAATATATAATTTAACCAAGATAAAGAAACAGAAAATACCTATGGTATTTAAAGCCAAGATAAAGCAGTTCTAATGTTCTCATCTCACACTAGGAATGATAAGGTATAAAAGGTATGGCTCCCCTCATGAGCATGCTAACATCTCTCCATTCCTTATTTATGCAGTATAAAATCTGCCCTCCTCAAACCGCAATTCTGCTTCTATTCAATTAAGCTACTTCACTGGATAAGAGACCATTTCCTCTTATATAGCTCAAGATTTCTTTGCCAATTTCCTCACCTTAAATAAGAGAAAAGAGCTGTTTCTAATTAACATGGATCCATTTAAAACCAACTGGAACACAACTCTCCTGTCAAATAAGCAATTCCAAGCTTTCAATTCAGTTCTAAAGAGTGTATACCTATATCCAAATTACTGAGTGGTATTTGTGTTTACACATGAACATGCACAATCTCAACGTTAAGACTCCAAATTTACAAAAACTACAACATGCAATCAATATATTATCAACTAAGAGCAGGCAATCTCGCATGCCTGACCTCAATGCAATGATTCTGCATGAGAGCTTCTCCTGACAGCCAGCCTCTGCTTGCCTGAGTTACTCCTCTACTTGGTAGCAGCAAAAAAAGAGAAGAAAACTATAGACAACAGAAGAATCAATTCTCAAGAAAGGGAAGAGGAGGGAAGAATATGGCCAGAACTTTAAAACAAAATTCAGGAAGAAACAACTGCAGACCAAAGGAAAGGATTAATTAAAATGGCAAAACAAGTCGGAAGCTGGTGGCTCACATCTGCAATCCTAGCTACTTTGGGAGGCTGACATGGGGAGGATTCCAGTTCAAGACTAGCCCGGGAAAATAGTTTGAGATCCCCATTTCCAAAATAATCAGAGAAAAATGGACTGGAGATGTGGCTCAAGTGGCAGAGTGCCCAGTTTGTAAGCATGAAGTTCTGAGTTCAAACCCTAGTCGTACCAAAAACAACAAAAAATTAATGTTAAAGGAAAAAATAAGACAGTAAAATCAAAAGGAAAAAATATATACTTGTCATTTCTACAATGTCAAGTTTCCCAAGCTTCCTTTAAGGTCTTCCTGACAAATTTCTTCCAGGAAACCCTTCTGGAATTACTTTTAACTATAATGATTCAAATACTGAATGAAAAAAAAAAAAGTCACAACCGTGAATTTTACTACAAAGTCATTATGTGCCAGTTTACATAATACTGTCTTTTTCAAATTTTCTTAAGAGTCCTAGCAAGATAGCAATTGTAGTTCACATCTCATATAAAGAACTCAAGACTCAATTATTCAGGTACAGAGTTAATAGACAACTGAGTTAATACTGAAACCTACCCAATTCCCAAGCCCATGTTCTTTTCACAATGCTACACTGCTCTAAAACTTAATTAATGATAAGAAAACAGCACAGTTTATCACCTGTTATAACCTATTAACTACACAGAACTAGCACTAAAATACCTAGAAAATGTCTAAATGTTTTAAGATAATTTCTATAGAAGTCATAATTTGAGTAAACTATATTACACATTGCATTTCTTAATTTCAATTTACCATATCATTTCCATAAACATGACCTACCATTCAGTTTATATTACTTGGAGCACCCATGATGAAAAGGTGGATGAGATATTAATTTAAGAATAGGAAAAAGCCTTAGGCAAATTCCAAATATGCCTTTCATTGGAAAAAATTGCTTGGAGTGACCCCTGAATAGATTTAAATGTTAAGACATCATGAGAATGAAGAGGTTTTGGTTTTCTCTGAGACAAAAAAATGCCAGCAATTTGATGTATTATTTTTCCAACAGGAATAAAAATTAAGAGAGAGCTGAGGACATGGCTCAGGTGGTAGAGAGTCTGCCTAGAAAGTGCGAAGCTCTGAGTTCAACCCTAGTATCACCACAAAAAAAAAAAAAAAGAGAGAGAGAGAGTGAGTTTTTGGTCTGAATTTCAGTTAATCCACTGATTCTAATACAGCAAATCAGAAAGTTCTGGAGATCTAGAAGTAAAAGAAATGAAAAATTTCTTAACTTGGGAATAAATATAGTTAGTCGTAGTATATAGATTAGGCACAGCTATTTACTACCTTTAGACAGAAGAAAGGTGTATTAGGAAGCTTTGTGTTACTGTGACAAAAGACCAGAGAAAAACAATGTATAAGGAGAGGTTTGTTTGGGCTCAGTTGTCAGAGGTTTCAGCCTGCGATCAGTTGACTCCGTTGCTTTTTGGGCTCATGGTGAGGCACAACATCATGATGGAACCATGTGATGGAGGAAACTGCTCATCTCATGGCAGCTGGGAAGCAAAGAGAAAAAGAGGAAGGGGCCAGAGTCCCAATATACCCTCTTCAAGAACATATCACCAAAGACCTAATTTCCTCGAACTAAATACTATTTACTTATTTATTTATTATTTATTCATTTACTTATTTTGTGATGGGGATCAGATACAAGGCTTTGCGCATGCTAGGCAAGAACTCTAACACTGAGCTATACTCCCAAATAAAAATCCCATCTCTTAAAGGTCCCATCACTTCCCAGCAGTTCCACAAGCTGGGGACCAATCCGTTAACATGTGGGCTTTTGGGGGACATTTCAGGTTCAAATTACAGCACTGTGTTAACATTTAAGCAGAGAATATAATAATCAAACTGAAGAACTTATGCATCCTTTAGTGTTGCTGCAAGGCAAACTCTTCCTGCTTACATCACTGAAAAGTAAAACTGATTGAATGTGAAAACTAAGAACATAATGAAAACCACATGACACAAGGAAACGATACAGCCCTCACAGCCCCTGCTGGCCTGGTTTTATACAAATATTTAATCAAGATTATACAGAAGCAGTCTATGTCAATTTCAAGATGAAGACAACCCTTAAAAATGTTAATCAGCTTTCATTTCAAAGTTTAAACATACATTGGCAGCTATTGAAAAGAACACTGAAAAAGGAGGTTTGAAATTATTCCTTAGTCTAATGCCAAATAATGAGCTTAACTTTATTTCATTTAAGGGAGAAAATTAAAGTCAAACCCTAAAAAGATAAATAGAATAGTCACATCTATATTTAGGAATCAGCAATAGTTGATTTCATTGCTTCCTCTAATAAGAATGTTTACTTTTCTTTTTAATTTAGCTTCATCTAAATTAAAAAAGAGTGTTAGCACTGGCTAAATTCATCTGAATATTTTTGTTGTTGATTTTTTAAGCTATTTATGACTTTATAGTAGTCTGTCTATAACTGATTAAAGCCTACTTGAAAATTCTTCCTGTGAAATAAAGGGTATATAGGAAATCTCTTTACATTTTAAAAAAAATGTATTCTGGAAGAGCCCAACATAGGTGAACTGTAGCACTACATCTTTAGAAGTTGAATAAGAACACCAATGAGGACTGGAGATACGGTTCAAGTGGTAGAGCACCAGCTTTACAAATGTGAAGCCCTGAGTTCAAACCCCAATCTTACCAAAACAAAAGACTAAAATAACATTGTATTTAAAAAAAAAAAAAAGAATATCAAAGATTTTTTAACCATGGAAGATATTCTAACATCTCAATGGTCACAAAGGGTTGAAAATTTTCCCTCTGGAATATACAAGAATTCCAATGAAGAACCTACAGACCAAGAGTATAGTAAAAACCTGATAGCAACACAAACTCAATTTTTCTCTGCTTCTCAAAGAATTCTTAATAAGCAATTCTTAACTGTCTTGATCAGTTTTTGCCTTTCCCATTCCTTCATAATCTCATTTGAATTAGTTTTAACTGCTTTTCTAGGATAATACTCCAGGAAATAAGTTTACTTCGGCTTCATTTTTGTTACTTGTACAGTT